GGGGGCTGATGATTCTAGCACTCAGCTACCCCCTCATGGTTCCTTCACTGCCATGGAAAGTGGTGTTCGGTCTCCATGAAGGTTTCAAGTACTCTGAATACCAGCTTCGGATGGATTTATGGACACAGTAGAAAAGAATGACCGTGGGTATATTTCAAAATGCCTTGTCTAAGTTTATCTCTGGAGAAGGAGATAAAAAGGGGGATTTGTAGAGTTATATTTGTATTTATTCATGTTAGCAAACTATGGATAAGCTTAAAATGGGAATAATTTGGGTAAAACTGTGAGCTGCATTTGGGGCCTGTTGACATGTGTTTTTGAGGACAAAGGAAGATGGGGGAAGGTGAGAGCATGTCCTGATTTGCATTCAACTTAGATCTAGCTGCAGTGTTTGTGATGTTAAGAGAGGTCCCTTGGGTTTCTCTGGTGCTTATCAATAGTAGCAGTTAAGTGAATACTGTTCAAACAATACCTGTGTTTGTGTTTTATATTGATTTCTCTGTTTTATCCTTTCATAAATGTAAGGACTACAAATGGCTATAAACATTCTGGGCTGGTTGGAGTAAACAGGGTTTTATGGCTCTGTGGGGGAGGTGTAGGTATGCAGGCCTTGAGACCTTTGGTTGTAAAGTGAGCCTGTTTGGTTTCCTGCTGCGTTTCCTGCTGCGTTGCGTCTCCCAATGAGATGACCTGAAAAGATGACCAGCTGACCTAACACCAAACCCCTCCTTCTTACTCTGGTATATATCCGGTGGATCCCTGGCGTTCGGCCTCTTCTTCACATGCTGCCCTCGGGTGAAAGTAGCTCTGTAGTATGCGGACTAGAGCAGGAGTAAGCCGGCATTACTCCTTAAGCATTGCAATATAACTGTAATATATCATGTTGTATTGTAATGATTGTATTGCATTGTCATATTGCCATTAAAGTAGATTATTGTTAACGGTTACTTTGTAGATATGGATTCCTTCCTGTATTATAACCAGCTTCATAGGAACGCGCGGAGATTTGAAAAGCGGACCAGTTATCCCTCCAAATCTCTAACAACACACACACACACACACACACACACACACACACACACACACACACACACACACACTTTGGATGAGTAATCACTTCATCCAAATTGTAAATTGTTGCCTTCTTTAAAGTTATTAGTAATTCAAGATTAATTATTAAATTAGGTACATAACATAGAATAAACAAAATAACTTTGACTTGATCATTTTGTTCACAACATTAGACCTTGTCCTCTAATCTCTACTAGAATAAGATAAGTGTGCATGTTTGGGTGTGGAACACTCCTGTAATGTACCTAATCTTGTTATCCTTTTCATTACAGAGCTGGGGAAATGGTGTATTGATTAGATTCTGATCTGTGCAAAGTCCAATTTTGACTGACTTTAGTTCTAATGTTAATTTGATTTCAACCCATAAGGAATTATTTAGATTAACTCAACATTTCACATGATGGATTAGTGCTCCACATTTTTCCCACTAATTTGTTGTGCAATTAGGCCAATGGTAAAGAGAGACATTGATGACCTTGTGTCCCTTTTGTTGGTACGTGGTTCCATTCTGTCTATGGCCTTGGACGGCTTCACTAAGAATCACCCAGTTCTGACAGTCCGGCTGAGTGCAGTCACAGAGATGCTATGGCTGCTCTACATGAAATGACATTAATGGTCTGGTCTGAGAATGGACACCATTACCTGCTTCCAGAGACAATGCCGCTCCTCAGACTGAACAATACTGTCTCACGTGGGCCACTCCCCCCACCAAGCCATGAACTGAAAGCTTGACATCTGCTTTGAACACCTGGAAGCCTCCCGGTCACACCAGCACCAACCCTTGGGTCAGTCAGATGGGACTAACGGCTTAACTTAGGGCATTTGGTTCAGAAATATGACTCTCGTTACCGCAGAGTGGGTTGTTTTTTTAAGGCTATTCATACTGCTATGCAGAGGATGCCTGTAGGTTGGCAAGCTGTTAAAAGCCCCTACTATTTTTAAAATAGGCCTAATGTCAGGAGCCTCTTAATGTCTAGTTCTACATGTATTCACATTATATGGACAATGTTTCCACCTGGTGAAACTAAAGGCTGCACAGTACTCAGGCTACAATACGACCATTCTGTTCTGCTCTAACAATTCAATTGATAGATTCTACATCAAAACAATTAGCTTTTATTGTTTCCAATGATAACGTCATTTTAAGAGAAGGAATGCAAACCTGTTTTCAAATGTAAGGTTTTGAATGTGTTTGACATTTCTCAGTAATACCACCCTCAGACACCCACTATCATTTATGCTATGCTTTCAGTAATAACTCAGATGTTAAGGGGGATGAAGCTTTTCCTCCCAAATCAGATATGCTTTGTTTTTCAACAAAGGTATACAGTTCCTGCATAATATATGTTTCTCACAATTGTTTGTTTTTTTGTAAGCTGCACACAGGTGATACTGAGTCTTCTCGAGTAATAGATTACACCATGCTTAAATAGACTCCTAAGTTATTATTTCATATGAGACATATGTAAGAAAAGGGAGGGAAGAGTCAATTATATTAATTGAGTAATTGATTTTATATTGGAACATTTATTTCTCAAACCTGTTTTATGGAAGAGGAAAATATTTCTGATAAACTAATATGTTATCAAACGGTAAATGGTGAATTAATATAACATTTAGAATCATTGAGAAGGGGTGATATCCGCAGGGACTAGCTCACCTTTAAATTACAATAACATTTCTCTACTTTGGACTGATGAGTTTATGATTCTTGCATGTTAAATGACTAACACAAACCTTACATTTATGCATGTGCATGTCTCAGGAAGGCTCCCAAATAATTCTGAGGAGCCTATCCTATTTTTGTATTTAAATGATAATGTGCTAATCCATTACTTTGAGTTGTCTGCACTCAGGAAAACATCCCTATCAAGTGTTAACCCAATAACTACAGTAGGACAGCTCTGAAGGCCAAGGGTCAGAGAGAGAGCTACGTGGGTCCACGCCAGCCACTGCAAGGTCCTAGTCACCAACAAAAGTAGATGACAACAAGTGATGTGTCCTAATCACCAACAAAAGTAGATGACAACAAGTGATGTGTCCTAATCACCAACTTGCACCACACTTGCACTACATACACCAAAACACACTACACACAAGGTATCACGAGCGAGTGCCAGCTGAGCGGTTCCATATGCTCTCTGGTTCCTCGTTTGTGTTACCGGTGTGCGGAGTCTGACTGTCCGTGTCACAAAATCGACCGAAGGAATACACACACACACACCCCATGGAGCATTCCAACCTCGTGATGACGGCTCGCCTGGGAAAACGACAACGCAACCGTGAGCAATACAACTGGCCTGGCCCAGTGATGTGGGGTTTAGCTCGCCACAAGATTACGTTTGGTTGTGCGGCGACAAGCTCTATCAAGTTCTGGCTCCCCTCTGGATAGGTACATGCACTCTAGTGGATTTGAATCCAGCAATCAGGCTTAACAACACTACTCTTTAATGTATTATCCATGCATAGAAAGACCTACAATGATGTTTCAAGTACTGGATTAATTTCAGTTTTGGCCCAAAACAAATATTTATAATATTTCATATAACAATTATGTAGCATATTTGATCCTCAAATTAGAGAAGTATAATTTAAAGAAATTGATATTCTCAACATTAGATAAACACAGAAGAATCCTTTCCAAGTACCATAAGTAGCTCAGGTAAGTATGGCTAATAGAAATAATTGATAGACTTAATTTGGTACAGATCAGTGGTAGCATTTACAAATGTAATAATTCAAGGTTTAAAAATGTTTAATCCTTCCTTTCCAGGTTTTTACAAACGTCTTTGAATATTTGCCTAACTTTTCCTTTTCAGATTTTGAACAATGTACTTGACTAAAATGAATGTATTGATTTCACTAAGTGCCTTACTCTTGACTAAAGCGTATTTAAGTAAACGTAAAAGTAATCCTAAAATTGAGGACACTGCACTTTTGCAGATTACAGATTGATCAAATCACCAGTGTGAATTCTATACTCTAACTGTGAATTTTTAGCTGGATCTCTTACGATCCTGAGTTTTAAAATGCTTTTGACTAGTGATTGCCTTGAAGTAAATCTTTAAAGCGGCAAGCTGGTTTTGATTTTATAGTTTGATGAATGAAATTAACTAATGGTAAATGATAAAAGATATTAGTTTAAAAACAAATATTTAGCCATTGTGCACCTGTGTTTTATGTGTGTTCATTATTATGCTTTTGACAAAAGATGATCAAACACTGATGAGAGATGACTTTTCCTATTATGATTGGCTGTATCAATCATTGTGATTGAATGTTTCAATCTTAATGTGATTGTTATTGATGTAATTGATGTTGTGTAAGTCCACACTCAAATCTGAAGATTCCCATTGATTTAAGTATTGAACTAAATATTATTAGACTAAGGGTTTTAGATTATCAAAATTGATAAAAAGAAAGAAACTTTAGATTATCAAAATTGATAAAAAGGAAGAAACTGTTGTGGAATATTTTCCAAGGCCCATAACTTTGACCCAGTGTATCAGTTCAAACTGTCCTGACTGAGCACAGGCACCTGTAACCTTGGCTGCTGTGCTCTCAGTGTTTTGTCTCCCTGTTCCTGCCTGTTGGCGTCAGCTGATAGAGGTGTTATCATTCTATCTTGTTATGCAGCATGTTGATGATGCTCTCTGAACTAGCTAAATACATGGGTCTGGGGTAGAGTTCTTCAGAATTGACGTGGCAACTCTACCGTGAAGTCAGAACCTCTGACTCTTGGACTTGTGATGTGAATCCTCCGGCCGTTAACTCCAAATAAACCATCATGTGTTTGACATCAAAGCTACTGCTCTTCCCGTGTCTCCTTCCTGAGTCGGTGACTCCCACTGCATTGCTACACAGAAGTTTCCTCTACAGTATCATAATATGTGATTACATGTTGTCTATTTCCCTCCCTTTCTGTACAGGCTAAGGAAGAACTTGAAGTCTTTGATAATCGTTCATCCCTCCTGGTTTATTCGCACGCTGCTGTCACTCACAAAACCTTTCATAAGGTAATTTATAATGTTTAAAGTCACTAAAATTATGAAATTAAGATTCACTCTGGTAACCTTTTAGATTTTGATATTTCCCCTTTTTCTTTTTTGACAGCACCAAATTTAGTCAGAAACTTCAGTATGTGTTCAGCTTGACAGACCTTGCAGAACTGGTTCCAATGGAGTATGTGTCCATACCAGATTGTATCAAAGAGTAAGTACAGTCCACTCAAACACACGCACTTTTCAAGCCAAATCAGACCTTCTGGGATATGGCAACATGTTTTTTATGATACACGAGCGTTGTTATGTTTACATAGGGTGGTTCTCTGTTGAGGGAAGACATTTTGTTTTCCATGAAGTGAACCTGGTGACTGCAGATCTTACAGCTGTGCAATGAATCAATACTTGAAATATAATAATTGAAAAAACCTGACTCCTCCAGTAGAAGTAATCTGACATGTATTTACCTTTTACAGATGTAATCTGTGTAGGTAAAAATGTAAGAAAACGTCATGTCCCTTGCTTTTTCCCCCTATTATCTGGCTGATTCTGCAGACTGTGGTTGGATTTCATTTGTAGGTGGTGCCACAGTAACATTTAGCTTTTCCTGTATATCATCATCATCATCTTTTATTTAAAGAGACTCTTGGTCCATTATTACAAAAACATACAACACTCAAATATAAATTAAAAAAGGCAGTTATACCAATGTTTCCACAGAGGTGACTGGTATCGTACAGCACTGAAACACGGATTTGACAGCAGCATAATGACAGAGTTATGAGAAACATTCAATCGACAGATGAATTTGTACATTCGATTTCTCAAAAGAGCATGGAACGTGTTGACTCGTGCGTTACAGAACATTTCACTTGCACTGCACCACCTTGGTTTTCTAAGCAGTATACGCAAACAGTCATTATAAGCAACCTGGAGCTTCTTGAGGCTTGCCTTCTTATACTTGACCCACAAGGGGGCAGTATAGAGAGGAGTGCAATAAGCTCTAAAGAGGTTCACCTTAACCTTATCTGAACACCAAGAGAATTTTCTAGCCAACATGTTGGCTTGCATATATAAGACACGCCGCTGTCTATACATGTCCTCATCATCAGCCATTTCATCTGTGATGACGTGTCCCAGATACTTAGTGTTACAGCAAACAGACAGCACCTGTCCTGACAGGTAGAATGTTGGAAAACAAAGGTTCTTATCCCCTTTTGCTCTGCAGATCATTACAGCGCTCTTCTTAGCATTGTATTTAACGTCAAATTTGACTCCGTAATCAGAACAAACATTTAGCAACTGTTGAAAACCAGCACTGCTAGGAGAAACAATAGCCAGATCATCGGCATACATAAGATGGTTTACAATCACATTACCAATCACACACCCTGTTTTACAGACACTTAAATCATCTGATAGATCATTCATATAGATATTAAAAAGGCATGGTGAGAGGAGCCCCCCCTGGCGGACTCCATTACCAACACCAAATGGCGCAGAGACTGCATTCCCCCATTTGATCCGCATGCTCTGGTTGGCATACCAATAAGCCAGGATCCTAATTATACTGTTAGGCACACCCCTTTGTCTCAATTTTAAAAACAGTTTATGGTGGTTAACTCTGTCAAAAGCCTTAGAGGCATCAATGAAACCAATCAGAACAGTGGAATTCTGTCTTCTATATGTTTCTACCATTTCTTTCAAAGCATAGATGCATAGCTCAGTACCATGCTTAGCCTTGAAGCCAAACTGGTTATCTGAGGTACATAAATAGGAACATAGTCTATCTAACAAAATTATTTCCAAGACTTTGGATAACACACTGGCTAGAGCAATTGGTCTATAATTATCCAAGCTCCCTACCTTGCCCGCTTTGTCCTTAATGACAGGCACCAAAGTAACAGTCAACATGGAGTCTGGCAACATACCATGAGTCATGAGGCCGGTAAAACAAATGGCAAGAAGAACTGCAACCTTCGGGCTTGCCAGTTTAAGGTGCTCTGCAGTGATTCGGTCAGAGCCGCATGCTTTATTATCAGCTAGCTGTGCAATTGCTCGATAAACCTCTTTAGCTGTAATTCCCACTGTGTCACTCTTCACAACATCACCAACTTTGTAGGGGTCACTTTTAACACAATTAAGTATATTAGAGTAATGTTGCCTCCACAACTCAGCTATGTTATCGGCTCCAGATACTCCCTCTATGGTACACGGTAATGACGTACTGGCCCTGTTCAGAGCTCTCACCTCCTTCCAGAAGCCAGTCACATCATTATGAAGCAGCTTTTCAGCCATAGAGTCCGCTCTCAATGTTTCTGTGTGTTTGTTGACATAACGAACTGCATATTTATATCTAGCATTTGTACGCTTTTTGAGATCCAGGACAGGCCCCTCTCTGGGCCTACCTGCCTGGACCCAGGCCCCAAAAGCATTCTTGGCTTCAGCGTATTGATCAGCCACATGTTTATTCCACCCTGGCTTGACGTTGTGTCTCTTCCTAGAGTAGGTACAGCACGGTCTACTGGCCTCCCATACAGCTCCCACAATACAATCATACATGTTACAGAGGTCTTCACGGTGAGAGTTTTCATTACAACCCACATCAACACACAGAGTTGCCACTTTGGGTAGATATACATCACTCAATAGGACATCAGTTCTCCCATAGTACAATAGCCTATCCTCATTTGTGAGCTTGGACCAATCCACTTTAGTGTTACAGGCATTTTTAACCTCCTGAGACATCTCAGGGAGACTATCACAATCTAGTGACATTATAAAAGGAATGTGATCTGACATTGATGCCTCATACACAATCTCGATTGATCTTACAGTGTCATGGGCATTAGCAGTGCTTATGCAATGGTCAAGCCATGAAGTTGTATGCCAGGCCTCGCTTATATATGAATAGCTATCTGTAGGCAGAAGTATTTGGCTTGATAATATAAGATTGTTATCATCACAAAACTGTAGCATATGCTTAGCAAACAAGGACCTTTTGTCTGATATGTCAGCATTCATATCACCCACTACAAAAACACTGGTGGAATGATTATCAGCAATAAAAGAATGTATAAAAGCAAGTCTGTTCAGGTATTCATCTTCATTATGCTGTGACTCATATGGTGTATATACATTGAGAATGCTAAACTCCTTGTTATTCATTTTGATCTGTACAGCAATACACCAGTCAACTTCAAGCCTGATGACATTAATGACAGTGTCCAGCTTTTTGTGCCACAGGATAGCCACGCCCCCTGCTATCCTTCCTCTCACTATTCCCAGAGATAGGTCCGTAGTGGACTCACCAGCCCCGTGAAAATTGTCATTAAGAGAGTTCAACTTTCCCAAGTCCTGCTTTGGTAAGAAAGTTTCTTGCAAGCATAAAATGTCACATTTTTGTAGCAAGTTGTCCACCACTACACGTCGGATCCTATCAGCAGCGCTGTTGCCCAGGCGCAGCCCGCGACAGTTAAATGATCCAACCCGCATAACGTTTAGCTAAGCAGCTCAGCCGTAGCCCCATTCAGTACCCTCGCACCAGCAAAAGGTCTAGCTCTGCTAGCCCTAGCTCTTGTATAGACAAGATGTCGGGGGTTTTAAGGCTGACTCACTAGAAGAGATCCAAATGCAAGCTACTAAGATTTAAACACTCATGAGTTTATTTAACCTTCAACAAGTATCAACATTACTAGAAAATGTAGCTTTGTTTTGTCCCATAAAAAGCTATCAAGGAATTAGTATTTTCCTCGGGTTGACCTTCGCTGTTCTGCATCATTATTGAGCTCATGCTGTATTTTCTACTTTACCCGATGCGGCCTAGTTTCCATGTGGCTTTTGTAAAAGCTTCAATGCAAATTCATCTCTTTACCAAATGTGTTTGCTCTTTTTGGATGTCTGGTTGCTGTTGGCTGTTATTCTTTTTTCCTTAACTCCATTTCCCTGCCCCCTCTTAAGGTTTGACGTAGAAAAAAATAGGAAAAGCCGTAAAAGGTATATACACTTACAACCAGGGTCAGTCTCAGCACTTTGTTGTTTTGCAATTCACAAACTAACAACAAAATGATCCGTTGGCTTTCAAAAATGCAACAATACACTTCGTTCTGTCCTGAATGTTTGTAGTTGGATGATTTGCTGTCCTCTCTAAATGTCCCACATTTCCCCCTCAGTGGATTAAGGACGTTCACTCAATAGCAAACTGAGAAGCTTGATTGGTTTCCAGAAATAGGTGGCTTGGTCATTATTTAACCAACTTAATCTAATTTCTGAGCCAATCCTGTAAAGTACATTTCAAAATCCATTCTTGTTTATATGTTCTCTATTCTTGCCTCAATTTAATATCAGCGATCAGTTGTTAAAACATCATGTGCCCTTAGTAGCCTATTGCATAACAAAGGTACTGGTACAAGGTACAGACACTGAATCATTGATTTATGTCCAGCACATACTTTTCTAGCTAAATAACTGCATTGCTGCTTTCTGATATTAAAGTTGGGGCCTCAAGTAGATCTTACTTTGCATGTGTCCTTTTAAAAACCAGGTTTATAATTTGATCTTGGGTAAGTTTGTTCATATTTGTACGACTAGTGGGGTGGACCTACAGGGAAGTCTTTGTTACTGTGGTGTTGTGGTTTGCACTGTAACCATATCTTCACACGGATGCACTCGATAACTCTCTCACTGAACACTGGGCTTGTCTACTCTCACAGCTCTCTGCATGACTCACTGCATACCCACTCCTTGCTGATGTTTAGTAATACCGCAAACCTTACCCTCATGCACATAGACTTTTTACTCTATAGCCTACTGATAAGCAGAGACAAGGGGGTTATTGAATTGCAGTTATGTTGTGGCTTATCAAAGTAAGGGTGTAAGGCATTTACTGTATCTGTATGCAGATGGTAAGTCTAGTAAGTTAAACCTTTAAGTGAAACATGAAATATGCTCTCATACTAAAAAGTCCCTTTGGTAATGGTGTAGAGGCAATGATCACATTTCAGTATGTCATAATATAAAAACGTTTCTGTTGCAGGGCAGCCTGTTTTTATTTTACATATCGGTTATCTTGTAATGTAATGTAATGTGTTGTTATATGACCTGTCATCCCAGTAGCACAGGTGTCTGATCACTGTTGAATTTCCCTGCAGAATCGACCAGGATGCGCACGGCAAAGTGGAGATCGCAGCGGCTGCTGTTCCAGAGTGACCCTGCTAGCCCGCACGATGTGGAGGAGGAAAACGACGGAGAATGTTTCAAACAGCCACTCGTATGTTTATGTTCTGGGCAACGTGACTGAAGACTTGTTTGCATCATGAAGTGCCTTTTTGAAACTGTGCTGCCTGTTACATCGTGGGACTTTTCACAGCTTGATCTTCAGCGTTCTTCCACTTGCTGTCTGAAATGTTTTTAATCTTATTTTTATTTACTGCCAATATATCATGTCCAACTTAGCTTATTGGTGTCCCCTAGTTACTGGTGTATCTACACGTTATGTAAGGCACTCTGTTACAAATGATTGATGCATGTTCTGCTTTATTACATTTAAATATATATTTATATTCAAAAGGTGACAAAGGAGAGAAATTAATATATTTTTATGGTTGCTCTGATTTTAAACTGCATTTTAGGTCTCTGACCCGTTGAGTGGCATTTCATTGAACACGTGTTGACAGCACCTTTTTCACTTTTCACTGCTGACGTTCTCTATCAAAATCCTGCCTGGGGGAAAATAAAGTTTTATTTTTTTCCCTTCACTCAGAATGTGCCCTTTGAGTTGTGTAGGGAGAACATTTGTGAGAGCAATGATCTGAAGCAAAGATGTAGGTCTTAATGTAACATTTCCTCCAAGTAAAGTCTTGGATTTCATCATTGTTTTTTTATTTCATACAAGATAGGTAGGTAAATGATAGCATTTGAGATTAAAAAAAATCACCAAAATATGTTTGAAAACAAATTATATTCACATTACTTCAATCAATTCAATTGGTTTGCTTTAGATACTACTGTATACTGTTTTTACCTTCTTTATCTCATCCACTTAGACTCCACTAGATGGCACCACAAATATCGATTTCATTGAAGTTGGAGTTTATCATCATTTCAATATAGCCTACTGACAATAACAGCCACATTCATAAAAAACATGACAAGACAGATAGTATCTTGAAGATAATTAATAGAGAATGAATCAAGAGATTTCAGTTAAATAATGGCAATATAAAAATAAACGTATAACGTAATGATCTGTATTAAATATAAACTGTTAAAATATTATACATTTTAGCTGATTAAGCCTTACAAATTGTTAGAAGTGATCTGTTACCATGTCATGTCCTAACATCTTAAACCGCAGAACTGACTCCAGACACCTAATGGCGATGTCATCAACCTCAGGATCAAACTTATTTGCAAAGAGGTGATGTTGTTGAAGGAGCCAGGCGAGGTCTCCAGCGCCGTACACACACACTGATCTTCTGTAAGCACCGGTGCAATGATCGTACGGGGCTCCATCTTTTATACTGCCTGCATGATAGCCCCACTTCACCACGCGAGCGATGGCTTGCATGTCTGACTCATCATACTTGATGTTGGCAGGGATCGATCCTGGAACGGAGGGCATCCTCTGCAGGGTCGCCCACAGGCTCTCATCGGGGCTGTAAGTGTCCCTCTCCCACTCCAATAACTTCTGAGCCTCTCTGTCCTGCATCAAATGCTTCACAAAGGCTCTCGTGACCACAAAGTAGGCATTTCCCATGAACATAGGGCTGCTAATAGGTGGGGGACTTTTCTTCACATCAGTCCTTACTACAGTGCCACTAACATTGTGATGATACTGCCAGCGAGCTTTCTTGTAGTTATTGGTGGCCTCTGTCTCCATGCTGTTTCTCCCGTTTAAGGCTTTTAGGACCTGAACCATTTCCCTGTTGGTTTTGATGGGAAAGTCGCTCCCGCAGGTGTTTAGCATGTACCTCCACTGGACGTGTGAGTTCAGCAGATCTTTCATGCAGTTCAAATCCGCCTGCACTCGGGACCATGAGGCATAAACCACACGTTCTAACCTACTGGCTAGAAACACATTAGGAAGGCAGGAAACAATTGCCTTCACTCCCTTCAGAAAATCTTCAGAGGATTTCTGATCCACATGCACACAGTAGATATTCTGAGGAGTGTAAATAGCTCTTAGAAGACGCTCAAACATCTCAATCTTTTCATGAATAACCATTGAGTAGGCAATGGGAAAATCCTTTTCTTCTTCACTGAAGGGTGATGTAATGAAACCTCTCTTAAGGTAAGCTGGACAGTCCTTTGTCACGTTAAGGTAGAAGTCCTCAGTTAGTACTTTATGTCTTTTCCTGGATCCCAAAAGCACTTCTAATTGTTTTTTCTTGCCGGTAATGTCTCCACTGATAATAGCCGAGCAGCCAGGCAGGTCAGTAAAAAACTGCTGTGGGATTCTGAGATCAGGCAACGACTGCTTGTTGGAGTCAGTTTTCCAAAGGAAAAATGAAAGCAAAGTACCTATGAGGATGAGAGAGAGGGTCCTCAAAGTCAGGTGAATGAAAAACCTTGCCATTCCTTGGCTGTAGTCACTTCAGCATCGTTGATCTTTGTTTCACTGCAAGCTAAAGTTTGACAGGTACATCTAATGAAAAACTGAATCAGCCCTCTCAGTAGGTGTGTTAAACTAAGGTATGTTAGGCATTTGTTGAGCAAACTATATGGTAACCATTAATAGGATATGGACTTTCCTGTGAACAGACGGACTTTTTTGAACAAGTATTATACATAATATTGGAGCGTCTATATTATTTTATGATACGATAAAATCAGCACACAGCCATCACAATGTTTGCACTAAGGACATCAAGTAGAACATATTTTTATTTCATTTAAATGTCTATTTACAGAGATCATGGTCATTTCAATTATTATACACAATCATTTCACTGTTGAACGAATATATCGATAAGTAACAAAAAGAAAGTCATACAAACACATGTGTTTTTTTTACTGTTTACTCACAAATGCCCCTTCTAAGAATGTGCATTACAGGTATAGGCACTTTGTAGAGCAGAATAACACTCAACAGCACTCAAAAAAGAACAATCCCAAAGAAAAATACCACTACTCTCCTTAACATTACTGCACAATTTACATTTTTCCCGTCAGTCATCATTTTGTGATTATCCACAATACATTCCTCAGATATCTTCATCTCTGTTTTCAAAGTATCTACATTTGATTTAGACAAGTGCTCTCATCCACATGATGGGGTGCATCTGCGTCCTGCTCATGGATGAAGCTGTATCGTCGATACACCGATCCGCCTCTGCTGGTGTACACCACATCCACCTCGTCCCCGCTGTCCGGCTCAGGGACCCCGTGAGGCATGTTGGCGCTGCCGTTCAGTCTCTCGTAGCTCTGGCCCCAGCAGAGCTTCTTCCTGGCATGGGCTTTGACCAAGGCGAACACAGCCAGAGCCAACCCAAGAGCCAGCAGGAGAGCGATGGGTACGCCAGCTGAGGTGTGCTTCAGAGCTGCAGACGATACATTCAGGTCTGTTACCTGATCGTCCCCTGACTTGGGTTGCGGCGCCTCCACACACAGACCTAAAACAAAAAAACTGTCTTTAAGAGATGAATCAGAATACCTTTTAGTCCCACAGAGGGGACATTTACATTGTAAAAGTATTAAAGATAAAAAAAATAAAAATTATAATAAAAAAGTTACACGTTTTACAAAAATACACACCCTGTAACAGTTCTGAGGATTTAGCAGCCAGGTATATATTGCACAGTTTTTAACGGCATATTGCATATATATATATATTGCTCATATTGCACATAGTTTGCACATAATTGGTTGCACCTAAACAGTCCTATGTTGCTTCTGAAAGACAGGGTCTCTACCTGAGCGGCCATCACAAACACAGCAATCAGTGTCGTTGACTCCAGCCTGACAGCAGCGGGTGCAGCGCCTCTCCACAGCATGAAGAGCAAAACCCCGGTGACAAGTCAAACACTGGTCAGGTCTGAGGCCGGTGCAATGCCTGCACGAGCTGTCACATGGCTCACACGTTTCCTACAACGGTAACATTTCAAAACATCATGATTGGTATGTGACATTACACTTTTCCAGCTTAAATCAAACCAGTTCAAAAAGCCCAGACAAAAACATAGATTTATTCAAATAACCACAACTATGATAACTGGCAATTCACAGACCTATAGTAAGAAGCTAGGGAATATGTTGTCATGACCTTGATTATTTAGTTACTTTACCATTTGAAATGCATACAAAGGACATCAGCAGATCCTCATTTATGTATACAACGATCCCAGTACACCCACTGTTTAGTAGTGCAATGATTGAGTGAGGAATTAATGTGACAACTTTTCTTTTGAAAATCCAACAATATTAAATAGGGGAGCATTGTCCTCTGCTTTCAAATATGTTGATTAGAATAATTAAAGTAATATGGTCATGGGCATAGGAAGCATCCTGAATGTGGGGGGGACATTTTTAACGGGGGGTTTGGGGATCCCCCCCCCACGAAAAAAAAAATAGATTTCCTGTATTCTGGTGCATTTTAACAGGTGGTTTGATACTTTTATGTGGCTATACTAGCATGAGGAAAATGATGGGTACATTTTGTAATTTCATCCAGTAGTAAAGAAAGGAAACATATTTGATTATTAATTCAGAGCCGTCTTTTAATTCATAAAAAGCTGTTTAAATGCCCATTTTTTGTACATTTATATACAACAATAAATATTTGTGAGTGCATTGAGAGATATTGTTATGGAGAGTCATTTATATATAAATCGCAAAATACATTTGTGAATCCTTCTGTGAGTATTTATTCATATTGAGACTGATCTGACTCCATACGGATGTTAAGTTCACCTAGGAATGGTATCATTGACTTAAATGTTGCTCTTCTGTCTATATTGGTCATATGATGCCCCTTGACTGAAATGTTTCCTGTTCAATATCCCCACTGATTTCCTTAACATTCTGGGATGAGAGTCCACATCACAATTGACTCTAAACTGTCATTTCCCTTTCATCACTCACCTCAGCAACGGACCTCTCTCCACTGTCCCTGTGTTCTGCCTCTGACTCACTCTCAAGCGCCTAGATGTCAAGAGAGGTGGTGAAGTGATCATTATTTATTGAGCAGTATACTCTTTCACATTGAATCATAACAAGTCATACTGAATGTAAATACAACTGACTCTAAAGTAAGTCCCAGTCTGTGACATTGGACATTTTGAAGACTCAGTCCCAAGCAGTAGGTAGAATATTAGCTGTCTATGTAATGTGCACAGAAAATAAACAGTTAACTGAATACTGGGATGGAAATTGCCTATAACCACTCAGTAAAACATGAACAAACATATCAAACCAAGAGATCGTCAGCTTTGATTTTCGCTGTATTAACAATGTCCTGAACACTTGGTGTGTGTGCCTTACCTCTGCTATCGACATCGCTTCATACAACAGATCTGAGCTGTCAACAACACTCCTCCTTGAACATGCGCGCGCTATGGGAGAATCTGCCTTGGTGCAAAGTAGCAGTGAAAACATGGTACGGAGATTCATTGATTTGGGCATTCTCTCAATAAGCAAGTGGAATGGATTTGATAGTGAAGCACTGACACAGCGCTCTACAAAGTGCAGCGAGTGGATAGACCGATTCACGGACTTTCCACATGGTAAAAGTGGGGGGTCTAAACTAATCATTTCAAAAAGTGGGGGGGACTTGTCCCACCCTCATATAATGGCTGCGATGTCCATGAATATGGTACATGGCTTGAAGCTAAGCGCACACCTTTTCTGAAAAGTATCGCCCCTCTTCACAACGCGGATAGCAGACTTTGTCCTTTAAAGTGCTGATTGATTGATTGATTGATTGATTGATTGAAAAGTTTATTAACAGCTTGTATATTGGGTACAGTACAGTACAGCTCAAAACATACAATTGTTAAGGGGATGCAGACCAGAGAAAGACTTTCGTCTTGTTTACATCAGGGTCCCCCATTTCCAATTCATCATGTCATTTAAGACATATAAGACATATTTGACATACAGGTGTTTTTTTTACATACAGATTGCTTATTTACAATTTTCATTTCAGATTTCGTTCTAATACATCCTAACCGGACATTTAAGACATACCAAGTCTACAGATATACAGTTAGTAACAGAGTCTAAAATGCGAGTATATACATAGATGGGGGGGGGGGGAGCTGTCCATTGAACGACAGGTTGAGATTTGTACCATTACCGGGGCCAGTTTTGCAATGCTCTCCCCCGAAGGTGCTCTTTAAGAGAGGTTTTGAAGGTAAGTATAGTTTTACTTTCCTTTACAGTTGTGGGAAGAGCGTTCCACCTTGATGTGGCATAATTGCGAAACGTGTATTCCCCCTTTTTTGTGCCAAATCTGGGTTTCACATGATTTGTGGAGCTCCCTCTGGTGTTATGATCATGGTATTCCTTGACCTTTGGGAAGAATTTTGACATGTACATGGGTACCATAGAGGTGTAGTGGATCTTGTAGACCAGGCCCATTGCAAGTAGCTGTACTCTGTCGTCTACTCTAAGCCATCCTAGGTTGTCAAAGTGGGCAGAGGTGAGGTGGGTTCTAGATGAAAGGTCAAGCAGTAGTCTGACCAGTTTATTTTGCGATGTTTGAAGTTTTATTTTTAGCGCCTTGGAGGTGCTATGGTACCATGACGTGCAAGCATAGTCATAGTACCCTTGAATGAGTGCTCCTGCCAGAGTTTTCAGGGTGTTTTTGTTTACCAGAGAGGAGATCCGGTATAGGAATCTAGTTCTTTGATTGACTTTTTTTATTACATTGGATGCCATTTTGTCACAGGAGAGGTTTGCCTCAAGAATAGATCCTAGGTATGTAATTTCCTTCTTACTTGTGATAATAATGTCGCCCACTGCAACTGAGAAGTCGTCGGATTTGCTGAGATTATGTTTCGAACCGAAGAGAATGGACTCTGTTTTACCCAGGTGTAATGATAATTTATTATCGGCGAGCCAGGTGCAGATTCTGCCGAGCTCAGAGCTGAGGGTTTTTTCAACCTGCAACCCGTTCCTGTCAGAGACCAGCAGGGCTGAGTCGTCCGCGAACAGGAACAAGTTGCAGTCACATGCTGATGACATGTCATTTACATAAATTAGGAACAGTAACGGACCTAATATGCTTCCTTGTGGAACACCACAGCTCACTGGGAGGGGGGGGACAGAGTACCGTTTACCTCCACCATCTGTTCTCTCCCCTCCAGGTAGGATTGCATCCAGCTCACCGATAGTTTATCAAAACCAATTGCTTTTAGCTTGTCAATCAGAATGGGGTGATTGACAGTGTCGAAAGCCTTTTGTAGGTCCAGCATCACCATGCCGCAGTACTTGCCCTCGTCCACCTCTTGTTTGATGTGGTCGCTCAAATAAAGAAGGCATGTGTCAGTGGAGTGGGATGTTCTAAAGCCAGATTGAAATTCATAGATTAGTTTCTTTTCCGTGAGGTACTTTTCGACCTGTTCATATACTATTTTTTCCATGACTTTCGAGATGGAGGTA